TATATATATATATATATATATATATATATATATATATATATATATATAATATCCTATTTAAATATATTTCTATTAAACAAGATAAAAATATAAATGTGTAAATATAATATTCTATTTTGCTGTAGCTTTACAATATCAAGATATAGTGAATTTTTACAGAAACTTTTCGTATTATGATGATGATTAAATTTTGCAGAGATGTGTTATTTCTTTCTTTGCATAAACTTTGCGCGTCAAATGTTTAAATATAATTTAATATTTTTTAAATATACTGCACGTACATAGACAGAACATAACATATGAACAATGATGTTACATCCATTAACTTTCGCGATTACATGGATAGAATGTTTTGATATAACTTTCAATGGCTACGTCATAACTCATAATACAGGGAAAAGTAAAATTACAGTTTACTCGTAGTTCACGGAAAAAAGGAATGCACGTTGGTGAACAGAAATACTTACCTTTGCAAACGGTCCCTATTCCCACCGAGCGAGTTGGCTTGCGAATTTTGTCCACAACTTCAAACGCTCTCACATACACATCCGAATATAAAAGTGCGCAAGCGCACTCTATCAACAAATCTATTTGATTCATCCTTTTGCAGCCGTCAGTTGCAATTGAGGTCGCATCTAAACACCATCGAGCTCATAATAATTTGGGTGTACGGTTTACATTCAAAAGTAATTTTCTTAGAAGAAATTAAAAAACGACTTTTCTTGAAAATTTAAAAAATATGCGAAATAACGTACATTATCAAGATGATATTAAGTATATTACTAAAAGTAACGCGTAATGTTTTGAACGTACTTGGAGTGTGGCCGTCCTTAGACAAAAGAAAAACAGTCGACAGCCGGATCTGTAGGTTTCTACTGATCATAATCTCTGGTTACTACTTTACTGCGTCCGGTTTCCTCTCCTGGTTGTTTGAAAAGAGAACGCGTATCAAGATACAAATGATACCTCTACTCCTTTTGGGTTTAATGGCCATCGGTAAATACGGCAATTTGATATTTTGCGAAGGGCAGATCAAGCGCTGCCTACAACACATCGAGGAAGATTGGAAGTGTGGTCTTACAGCTGTTTTCGCGATGCATGCTTGTGGTCAGCTGAAAATACTGATAAAACTGATGAGATATCTCTTCGAGGAACAGTGGATTGAGAAACATGATATGAATAGAAAGCTAGCCGAAATAGTTGAATATTAAATAAGAATACGAAGGTGAGTGTATATAGTTCGTAACTTTTATTCAATCGATCTCGTTAACATAATGGTAATTAATTGCATAATGGTAATTATTAACACTGTATACTGCACGTGGATTGCAATTTTTCAATCTGTTTTGTCGTTCCTCTGAAAAATGTCGATTTTATATTATCCATAACAACATTTCAGTTTTTTGCAATTAGTGGAGCGCATTATGCAACAAATATATCTCATAGAATTAATGGGGAATACGATAATGCTCTGCATTCTAGGAAATTGTATAATAGTGGTTTGTTTTTATTCATCTAATACAATATAAGAAAGAGATCGTGTTTCGTATCCCCATATATGTGATTAAATTGCTTTCATAGTACGATCCTGTTTATAGAAATGGGAGAATAGTAATGCAATAGCTATGTGTACTTACTTTATAACTATCACCACCATAATGGTAATTATGTTCATGTTTTGTTACACTGGTGAACAACTTATCTGCCAGGTAAGTTTATTTGTGTCAAAATGTCAAATTTTAATGGTAAGCGCTACTATTTAATAACAAATATTACATAGTCGATTGCCCGTACATAAATATAATTGTTTTTTCTATTGCAAATAATACAACAGTAATTCTTGCTTTGAAGAAATGAAATTGAAATATGATGTTTAATAATTATTGAAATAGTCATTACTGAGTTATAAATTTATCAACATATAAACTTTTATTCTATGCGTGTTTGATAATAATAATGATAGGCGGAAAAAGTGGCTAGTACATCCATAGATCTGAGCGATGGCGATTACGATGCGTGC